AACAAAGTTCTGCACTGATCACTTTCTCCTCCATTTTCATCATTTATTACTTACTCTCCTCTATTAAAGGCACAGATTTTTATTTCAGGTATTTATTACAGACAGGTTGAAATAACAGATGCTCAGTGACAACCAGGTCAGAATCATGAATAACTTATAAAACATACACCAAAACCAAATCCTCATTTTCAGCATTATTTTAACCAGAGTCAATTCTGATCCATTCCTCTGAGTAGCTTTCCAAGGTTGTACACCCTTACAGGGGCAGCAGGGAAGAGGGAGAAGCAGCAAAAGAGCACTGGGATAGCTTCAACAAGCTCTGCCACAAAGGACTATTCTTGAAGGATGTCTTTAGCTGGTGCTGCTTTTTGGAAATAATGAAAATTGCCAACAGTGATGGGACATGTACTTCTTTAATTTATCTTTTCCTTTATCATTTAACACCAATCAATGTGCACTGTTCAAAATGGAACCAATTACAGGGCCTGCAAGTCTTTCACAGGACATTTATGGTCCATGGAACGTTTCTTGGATTAAGAGATGTGGAGAGCTGGTAATACAAATGGGATACTGTCACTCAAAATGGCTTAAAAGAGGGAGAACAGGGTGCTTTTTGCAGTACTTCAAGTTGTATTTCTTACCTATTTCTATCATATTGCTAAATAAACTGGGATTACATAATGAATACTAACAGAGTCTTTGTGTTTTAAAGGTAATACCAGAATTGGAAAACTCATCTAATTATTGCTTGAATCACCAAACATTTCTATAATGAAGAAGTAGGTATCTCAGAAACTGCAGATAGCACTGTAGTGTATTACTCTGGTTATGTGGTCATTTTCAGTAGAATATTGAGGAACCTTAAAATGTTATGGGTTCCACATTCATACACTGAAAATTATCATGAACACAGTTTTGAACTCACCCATTGACCTCACCAAACGCCTACCAAAGTCAGGAGGACCTTTGACAGAGTCCTGAATAAAGCCATGGGTGATGAAATGAATTTAAAGTGGGTGGCCAGAGGAGAGGTAGAGGAAAGTCCATTGCCATTTCTCTTGTCCTTCACAGATTTCATGTTTTCTATTTTCTGATGTTTCATGTTCCAAATGGCTTGCATCTCTCTCAGATCCAAGAATCAGAATTGCCCAATGACCTTCCAAAGGGTTTTACAAGAATTTTTAAAGTTACTGGAATCTTGCTGGAGTTGAGAAAAGGAACTTAAACCAAAAAAACAACCAGACATATCACATGTAACCATCCATCCTCACCTCCACCTTCACTACTAGACAGAGCAATATAAGTGAATATAAGAGGATGTTAGGTGGAAAAGAAAGGTTCAATCTAACATTCTCCTCCCTGAAATGCTGTGATCATACTTTTGGAAAGAACAGCCTATTTTCTTGGATGAATTTATAACTTCAGGTATAAAACTGACTGCCAGCAGTGGAAATGCTTCTGAACAAACCAGAAGAAAGACAGCACGTCAGTTGACAATTCCCAAGGCACAGGCTCATCTCAGTGCCTGACAGACCATTTTAGTCCTCTCTCATGCAATATTCTTTTACTTTTAGATCTCCTCTGTTTTGCTTTTCCAGTTCCTGCCTCTCTCATTACTGCTCCTATCTTCATCTGTGATTACTTCTGCTTTTTCTCTGTGTTCATTTGCTTTTATCCACATATTATAATCACTTAAAAAACCTCAGGAGAAAAATGTTTCTCCTTTTATCTGTTCTTCTGTCACCTTCATCATCACCTTTCGGGATAGTCTTCTGCTGATGGTTTGAATATGTTGTTGGAAAGTAAAAACAAACCAAAAGTTAATCTGGGTCTCCCAAAGATCATATTCCATGTGATCATGAGTTGTAGCTGAGAAGATGAAAGAAACTTTTCTTTGTCCTTGGGTTTTTTTTAAATTCTTTTAAAAATATATTTTTTTCAAAATTACTAGGATATAACATAGGGTTTGGGTTTAAACTTTAAATTCATCTTATCACTGTGATCCACTGACTCCATGAATTCTACAATTCTCGTATACCTGTCAATTTTCCTTCCTCTCTTGTTATAGACATCACCTTGTCATGACAGCATAAACTACTGCCATTCTTTGAAAGAAAAATCAATTGTTAGTCTTGAATTTCCATGATTTCTCATGTGACAGTAAAGGTACCCATAGGGGTCATGAAGACCTGTTTCTGTTAAGGAATGGGTCAATAAAAGGAACAGGGCTGGTAAATAAAAGTTTTTCTTCTTCCACACAGAACAACAGAACAAAACCAAAAGTGAACCTCCAAAATCACTTTGTAATTCACAAAATAAACCTAGTTACTCCTTGAAAAACACTAAAAATGTTAAATACAAACTTTTCAAAAAAATTAACACTATAAAGCAATAGTGTTTTAACCTTTTCAAGACTTCCTTTTTTTTTTTTTTCTCTAACTGGTGTCAGAGAGAATTAAAAAAGACAGTATAAATATTTTAGTTTGAGATCATGATTCTTTGACTTTCTCTAAGAGAGAATAGTAGTATTTGGAGATATACTATTGACGTTTAAGCTTCCTGCCAGTCACACTAAGTTGTGTCATCCCTCAGATGGTCAGTAAGAACACTACATTTAATCATCATTCACATCATTATTGCAGGGATTCTGTGAATCACAGAACACAGCTACTGGGAGCAGATATTCTCCTTTTAATAACAGATATAGGCATAAAATCCTCAGTAAATTCTTCTCCTCCTCATTAAACCTTTTCCCCTTCATCAGGCTGATCATCAGAGCATGAAGAAATGTTTCATAACTCTCTAATCTGGTGTCACAACACCAGTGGTGCATTATTTTACCAATGGAAATCCAACAGCACAGAAAGGATTGATCCTCTGCTCGTGTGCCTATGGAGGAGGTGGCCACATGTGAGCACCCACCAGCCCCTGCTCCCCAAGTGACTCGTGACCACCAGGAGGTAGATGGATACCCAGCTCTCCAGGCCATCAAAACTGGAAGGAGACCATCTCCTCAAAGTTTCTTTTACTTTCAGTTTTTAAAGGTGTAAAGAACACTTCAGTAGGGATTCCCCCATCACAGTATAGCCAAGAAGGAAATCACATTTATGTTACTTAGGACATATTTCCTTCCCTCAAAGTGAACCCTGAAACTCTTAAAAGAAAAGCACACCCTTAACTAAGCTAAGAACACAGTCAATAATTTTCTTGTAGAAAGTCTAATGTTTAGCCTAAGTCAAAATATGCAGAAATTCAATTCACAATAAGAAAACATGAAGAATGAGGTCCATTTAGATCACTGTACATTGCAGCATCACATTCAAATCTGTATTCAGCTTTCTTTGACAAAATTTCCCCCCCTTATTTTTAAAACCATTTTCAGAATTGATGGGTAAACTCAAGATCTCAAACTGGCAAATAAGAAAGGACACAAGAGGTGAACAACACGAACTTCTGCACTTGAAAGGGACGGCAACGTGAGATCAACTCAGATCTGAAGCATCATCTTATTTTTTTAAACAGGCACTGTGCTAAATGCTAGCAAGTTTCAGGTGAGCAGACAAACTTTAAAAGACTGGTCAAGACATGATAGTAATATACCTTGTGCGTAGAGTTCATCTGACCAACTTTTTATATTGCATATTAGAATTATTCTATCAAGTGAGCCTTTTCCCTTTAGCTCCTAAGATTTTTCTTGCACCGACTTTGGCTACTTTTCTTTTTTTTTTTTTAAGAAAACTATTTATTTAATGAAATATATGATGAAAATAATTTTCTACAGAATCACACTTCTGCTGGAGGAAAACCAGACTCATTTCTCCTCTAAATTACAGACATCTTAAAACATCACACACAGAGTAACTCTGACATGCTTTGATGATTTATTACTCCAAATTTCCTCCACTCAGCAGTTTTTGCAAACATATTTCTAATGTTACTGTCAACATGCAATGTTTAATTCTGTTGCTGTGCTAATAAAGTAGCTTTTTCAAAGTAAGTCAGTAACTGAAATTACATTATAGCTCAGATGATATTTATTACCAATACACTAAGTGACTAGGGTATCCAACACAATCTGTTCAAGAACTTATCCAGAGGTATTGTGTCTCCCTCCTTAAGTGAGTCAAATGTTATAGAAGTCTTATCTTCTGCATAATTGTGCAACTTACCTAAAATTTAGACAGTTCTCTGGTATTTTTGGAAATATGTATCCAAGTATCAATCCTTTTTCTCTTAGCAGAAATCAAAATAACTGAATGTTGTTTTAAGAAAAAAAATTATGTGCATCACAACAAAGGAATGTAAAAAAGCTGCAGGAAAGCTTGAGTAAATAAAATAAATATGGAGAGAATAAAACTGGCTTCCCCCCAAACCCGAAGTTTGTCAAAAGAACAAAGCACACACAAACAGCATGTAAAACCTGAATTCAAAATACGTTTATAGAAAAGGGATGAGGACACATGTTTTTTCTATTTCAGCTTGAAAAATAAAGGGACACAGCAATGAGTCTTGCTGGCAGGCAGATAACTCATAGGCCCTGACCCTTCGACTCACCAGGAATTCAAACACAAAGCTCTTTTCATAGTGACCGTGCCATACATTCTCAAGATAAGGCAGAGAAATAAGGAGCAATGGAGAGGTGCCACAAAGCTCAAAATGCAGAAAACTCTGCATAGAAATTATGTTCACTCATTCACCTACATGCAGCTGCACACCAAGTGCTGGCTGCAAAACTCCTTCTTTCCAAATTAGGAGCCATGCAGCCAGCTTTTGGAAACGGGACCTGCCTCCTGAAGCAAGCAAAGGCAAAAGAGAGAGCAAGCAGCAAGGAAAGGGCTATCCCTGTACATTTCTGTATCGGTCAGAACTGAACTGCACATCCGGACAAATAATCTCTAACACAATGAGCTTCACAAAAGGATTGCTGTGGTAAAACGGAAGGGTTTTTAGAAACAACAAAAAGAGCTACATTTCAAACAACATTTCAAATCTGGACTCACCATGAAAAAGCAACAGTTGCCTGAAGTTAGTGTGCTATTTTCTGCCCTGTTCCATTGCACTTTTTGCCTAGTTGTCCAACACTTAGTAGCTCAGAGCTGCCACACAGAGGCCCCTTCCGTGATCTGGCTTATTTGCCTGTCAGTTTGAGTCTCAGCTTCTGTATGATGCAGCTGTGCACTTTGCTGAAGGTCTAATATCATTTCCATAAGCTTTCTCCCTGACTGGAGCAAGCAGTTTGTTCTCCCTGCTCAATAAATACTCAGATCACTTTTCTGGTACTCACAGGGATAAAGCTTTAAGTTGTTAAGGAGTTCTTACTAAGTAGTGGGTGGAGAACATAAGCTCGGTACAAGGAAACTCTGCGCATAATCAGAAACTGAGAAACTTCCTCCCTTTCCCCCAACCCCTCCTCTCTCCAGGCAAAGCTGCCAGTGCCTCCTTTACAGAAATTTAGGAATGTAAAGGGAGGACTCAAAGGGGCCCAGTCAGACAAGCCTTTCTCAATCAATTAGCTTGCAGCCATTACTTGTGACCCTAGGTCACACAACATAAGTGTGTGGGGTGTGCCTTTAGGGGTACACCAAAGCTACTTATTAAAACTTACATAACCAAAAGTGTTCAAAATCAAATAAACTCTGAAAGCTGGAAAATATTTTCCACGTTCCGCAGTTTTGCTGGAAGAAGAGTTTTGAGTAAAGAAATGTTACTTTGTTTTTCCAATAACAAATCATCTGATGCAGAAAACTAACTTTTTTGTACTTTAAAAAAAAAAAAAAGATTGAAATGTGAGATACACCAGCAGACTTCAAAATGATATTTGCTTTACGATTATACAAAAACTAAGTAATATCAGCATGAGTGATTTTTGATGAAGCACATGATCATGTTCCTTAAAATAAGACTATTGTCTGTAGCTACAAAGGAATAGATGTTTATAGGACTGTTTAATTTATTCATGAAGTTCAGCCCAGGTATTTCAGTCCTCTGCAAGAAATGAGTTCTCAGCATTCAGATTCCATTCTTCATTTTAATACTCCAACATAGCAAATCAAACAATTTACTTTTTAAAAAGGTCCAGAATATTTGAACACTGCATTAAGTTATCCTGCACTGAACACACAGGGAGACGAGGGTGTAATTTACCACAATTCCCACACAACAAGTATACACCCCTTGGTGTGAAGGAAAACTTCAAAAAGACCCTCAGCTTCATATCCTGCCAACCCAATGACATGGAGATGATGCCTTGGAAAAACCCATGAGGGAGTCCTGATTTCAAAAGCAGATCTATGACAACCCCTTTCTGGGCCAGATGAGATCAATGCACCGCAGGGGCGATGCACTTTAATCTCAAGGTGCATCGCAAAGCATCTTTAAGTGGTGCCACAGATCAAGGCTAAGACGTAGCTGAAAAAACAGTTCAGCCCAAACTTCACCGTCTACTGAAAGTAACTGAGCAACCGCTACACAAAAGCTCGTAGAGGACTCAGGGAAACACGTAACCATGCAAGAAAGCAGCAGCAATGTACTGAAATTCATTGGGGTTGGTGTAGACAACCTGCAATCTACATGTTCACTCTCCGTTAAAATCCCAGTGAAACGCTCTGAACAGGCAGCATGGCCTGTGTTAGTTCAGACATTCATTCAAGAGATCAGATTGCAGGATCAGGGACACTGAGTAAGTGCCCTGGGGTAAGGATTTTATTTCTGTCTTGCACATAAGACAGCATTTAATAAATTAGGTCACATTTAAATCCTTGGAAAGCCCTGGCAGTAGAAATAATAATCAAGGACACTTTAATTTTGAATGAGAAAAAATGGGCTCAGGATTAAGATGCTGGATTGGAATTTAGGATATTTGGATTCTGTTCCCATTTGTGTCTCAAGTGGCCCAAATGATTTGGGAGACATTATTTCAAGTTTTGCATTTATGCCAAATATCACTTGCCTTCACCTCCTCAAAATCTATCAATAAAAAAGGGATGATGAAAATAATATTCAATAAATGGATCCCTTCAATACTGGTTCACAACACATGCTCTACATAGTGGAATTAAAGCAGTATTGAATATAAAATATTTACTGACACTGGACTTCTGAGTAACTGGACACAAGGAAACTACCTATATCAAACCTTCTGAAACATCATTCAAATCCATTATAGGCTTCAACATACACCAATCTCCAGGAGGTAAATACAAAGCCATGCACATGAATAACAATATAGGCTTCATTCTCTCTCTTTTAGCCCTCTAAATGTAAGGTTCCTGGAAAGCTTACATAGAGTTGGACCCTTAAATCATAAGGGGTTTGAGTCCCTAATAATAGGAAAAATATGGGAGGACAGTGCTTGTCAGGAGACAGGCTGTCTGGAGTGTTGGTCCCAGCAAGTGTTAAGAAATGGAGAACTCACTCCATCTTTGGCCAATCTCTGTGAACTTCCAGGCTAAAACAGAGGAATTACCACTGATTTCAGGTTTCCCTTTAACCTACAATTTCTAAAGCAAGATGCATCTCAAGCAGTCCACTTAGTTACACATTCACACACCTTTCATTTGGAAAGGTTGATACGGAAAATTTACAACACAAATAACAAAGAAATTTAAAGGATGTTTTTAATGTAACTTAAAACAATGCTTCCACACTGGAAATAATAATAGAATAATGGCTCCTCCTGGCACTGTTGAGTCCCCTGGCTAAGGACTCTTCCTTTTCCTGATTGCTGGCTGTAAAATTACCCCTCCATTGGCACCACTCCATCGCTGCCACATTTCAGCCATGCAAAGGCAATGTGAGCCATTTCAAAATAATCAAAATAACAAAAAAAGACACAAAGGTTGAAGCAGAACGAGGTCCTCAAACCAAAGATGGGAGCCAGGAATACATAAAACTCCTTTAACATTCTCAGGGTGCTGTGCTATGAGCAAGATTCTTTTTAATTAATGGAAGTAAACACCACCTCAGTGTTTCCATTTTTACATTCTAATATGGATCAGCCCAGAACAGACTATTTCAAGGAAGGGTGATGTAAGTTTTCATATATTTTTCCACGTTCTGCTCTTTTTCCTCAAAAGGAATGAATTTTGGAGAGGTCTACCTTAATTAGCCACCTCTTTTCTCCCTTATCTGTTGCATGATCTTTCATATTAAGAAGAAAATGCTCCACTCCTTGCACCAAGGTATTTTCACACTTACTAACTCAGAGGTAGCAAGAAGATAAAATGTGTAAGTATTATACAAAGTCTTTTCTTTGCATATGCAGATCTTCAGGCTTGGAATACATCCAAGTTCAATGTGATCAATACATGATCATGCTACGTTAAGGAATCCTCTGAGAATAAAAGGGATTTCTTGTTATGTGGGGGTTGTTCTTCTGCATAACAGTGGTCCATATAAAAAGCAACACCTGTAACATTTATTCACAGAACTAGCTCTCCTCCTCAGTTATACTCTTAAATGAGATTATATTCATTTTAGTTAGAAAGACAAAAAAGCTATGTGCAAAACACTTGCAGCAGAATCACATCTGTAAAGTTTATAGTGTTGACAGTGGTACTCAGCAAGACATTCATATCTTAAGTCGTGCTGTAAACACTGCATTAAAAGCAACTGCTTCTTTAAGAAATAAAACAAAACTAATTCCATGAGAAAAAAAAAAAAAAAAAAAGCTTGCAAATACACTACAGTACTTTGAAACAGATCTTCCACTCTTTAAGCCTTCTTCCCCTGAGTTCCCCCACCCCCTTTTCCTTTCAGGAAACAAAACTCAAGAAGAGAAAGAGAGAGAGAGTCAAAAGGTTACAGCCGGCTTGTAAGTGCAAAGAACGTGAGAGGCCCATTCTTCCCCTTAACACCTGACATCCCAGGGAACATTTTCTGCAGTGCCGAGTCTGGTGGATTAGACATGCAGCTCCTGTTGATAATGGAAGCTGTGCATCTCATTCGCCATGCAATGCTACTTAAAGTTCTTCTCCTGCTCCGCCTCTGTAAACTGTTCTCACTCCTGTTCCACAATTACGAACTTAATTAATGAAAACTGGCACTTTGCCACGATTAGGCCAAGTTAAAATACCTTCTCTGAGTCCAACAAAAAACATAAAAATTCATTCCTGGAATTCTGAAGTTTGAAAAAGTTGCAGTAAATCAGTAAAATCATGCACTTTATTCTTAATTACAAATAAAACCTAAGAGAAAAGCTAATACAAAGCTAATAAATGTTAAAGCCTTGATTAAAAAAAAACCCACCTGATTGACAACCTTAGTGGCAGCGTTATAACATTCATGCTTACTATTCCTTGACTCAGAATAGACAGGTTTCCCTGATTTCCACAGCTTAGTGAAGCAGGTAAAGCACATCTAGGGTATGTTTGTGACAGCTACAGAACAATGAAACACTAAATTACCAAAGTATTTGCTGCACTTTTTCTAGGATGGAGTTTTCCCATATCCCTCAGATGTAGCTGAGATCTGCTTGCTTGGCTGATGCTGTAGGAACAAGGAAACAATTACCTTTAATTAGGTGCATAATCGTACACAAAATGGAAAAGGACTGAGAACAAAGTTAATTCTAAACACCAGAACTCTTCAGGCAAAAGTACAAAAGAGAAACAAGATTGATTAGGGTAGAAAAGGTACAGTTCACAAAAATCAACATCTAGGTGCCATAAAAAGTAGTAGGGGAAAGTGACACAATATGATTACTTGGAATTTCCTGCTATTAATAAATGCTGTGTTCTAACTTAAAGATAAATTCGTTTCAAAAAAAAAGATGCAAATTCCAACGTAAAGCCGAGTAAAAACTTTAAAAACTAATTAATAAAATGCTGGCATTGAGAACATGGCAAAAAAATGTGAGTTCTTTGCTGTAGTGTGGTGGCTCTGGGATGTTGCCCACCAGATGCAACCAAACAATGTCAGTCCCTGCTTCCTCTCACCCCTCACCTACCTCATCCTAAACACCAGCCAATTAATTTCTTTTGTTGTATTTAAAAGACACTTGAAGAAGTTTCAGGGTGTAGTTTCTAATCTTTTTCTTTTCAGTGTGATGAATATTGGAAGTTTTATTGCTTGGACTTTGCAAATATCTTAGTCCGGTAGATGCTAAGAGAGAACTGTTACAGATTTTATAGGAGGAATCTGAGAAGGGGAAAAAAAAGATCAAAAAAGCAAATGAAAATTCTGGTAATTGATAGCCAGGTCTCCAGAAACATACTGAGATAATTGAAATATTTAGGGTTCAAATGTGTGAAAAATCCAATGAGAACATTCCAAAGAAGGC